TCCATATTTAATGAAGTATTTGGTTGTTTATTAATAAGAAGATGTTTTCATGTGGTAGTTGAAAAATGAGTATCATCATTAATGTTTTCAATAATTTTTTCAAATGTACCAAATACATGTTTTCAAGTTTCCCGGCAATTCCTGCAGTTCATCTGTCGAATAGTTCTATTGAAACAGTCGGTTTATACATGTAAACTGTCGAACCCGACATTTCTGAACTGTCGGGATAGACAATTCAATTGTTGAATTTGACACTTGAAAACTGTTGATACATCCTTGATTTCACCTTCTGCTACTCAATGATTTTTAATATTTAAAAGCTCCACATTCATATTATTAAATGTAGACATGTCTATTGTGCGCAATCCTTACCGTTGCAAGGGAAACATTTCAGGTATTAGTACTCATTTGAGATTCATCGTGTCGTATGGGGAGCAGTTTGTTCATGTGGATGACGATTGGAAGTGAAGAGGGACAAAACCACTTCCATTTTAGTGCCGACAAGTATTACCCTAACTGGACTCGTGCTACGATTGAAGGACAAATTTGGTATTCTTGATCCCCACACTCAAATTGAATTGATCTCCGGAAGTCGTTGAAGTAGTATGTTAAATGTTCCCCAACGGCGTTGTTCAATATGAAGTTATGTTATCGTTTACAATTAATTTTAGTTTACAGATGGTATTGGTCGTTATGTTCGCATATTATCGTTCTGAACTTGCATTATTATTTCGAACTTGCATTATCATTGGAAATCCATTATCGTTTGCAGGCAGTAGTAGACATGTTTACATTTTCAACAAATATACGAATTCATTGACATAATACTACGAGACAACCCGACCATTCATCTGTCTTCCCAAAAGATTGTTTCTGTCATTCTCGACAATAGGCACAAACTACAAACTGTAATACACATGACAACCGATAATTCATCCGTCGTTCCCGACATATTGTTTCTATCGTTCTCGACAGTTGGCATAGACTACAAACTGTAACTACACATACGAGGCATAAGGGACATTGGTGAAACTGTTTTTCTATCTGACTATTATACTGAGTGACAAAGCTTATGAAGTTTTCAAGTGTAACTCACTTATTTAGTGATGCCAACTATTTATAATGAACTTCATTGAAGAAAGCAACTATGGTCAGTTACTATACAACAACCAAATCACATCTCAAGCTTATTTTGACATTCAATTGGTGTGATTGTTAAGGTCCAATTGTACCTTTATGACTTAAACTTTGTACTAATTTATGACAATTGTAAATCTTAATGCGTGCGTATTATTTTCTCTTCAAAAATCATGCATGTAGTTGTTTGCAATCAATTCTTATTATGAACTTTGTATCCGTTCATCAAAGACAATATTGTCCTATGGGATTTTTACATACTTCAAAAAATTGATGCACCAATAGGCAAAGAATTATAAGTCACAAAAATCATGCATGAACTTAAGTATTCGATGAGGATTTGTGAACAAGTGTATTCACTCAATGTCTTCGCATTCCAACCACAACATAGTACCCCAACTTTAGACAACATAGACATCATGTGCAACATTTTGCCATACAAATAAAAATGTTTAAGTCACAGTTGAAGAATGCATGGGCCCCAAATCTACATTCGACATCATTATAACAAATGTCCTGCTACTCTTACATAACTCCCAAGTTTACAGGACATGAAATTTAAGCAATGAACAAGAAAATTATACATGAATATATACCGACAATGCTTATCATTGTTAAGACCCAATTGGAGAGGACGCACGAATGTAATGGATTATTAATTTTAATACAAGCTTCTGTTTATATAATAATAAAAGTGAAATATAATTGAAAGACTGAGGCTAAGTGGAAGAAAATGAAATGGGACAATTGTTACGTTGCTGAGTTAAAATAACATTTATCAAGACAGCATTTTGGCATCACCACCAAATTTTACCCAGACATAACATAAAAATTGTCTTCATTTTACAGGATTACGAATCCAAATTCATGAATCCAACTCAAACCGATCTCACTGAAACTAAATTTTTATCTTGAAGAATTGCTAGCGATAGACCACCACATCAACACAAAATGAACACTATACTTAGATATCAGTACAAAAAACATTTGCGATGTGGTGTAAAGCAATGGTTACGCCACGTTCAGCCCGACTCTATGACCCTGAAAGAGATTAATAAACAGTCAGATTGAGAGTTTTTAGCTACTTAACCTTTGATATGTCGAAAGCATGTGCACGAGGGAAACATATCAAATTTACATCTTCAAATCGCAACATATATTGTATACACGTGGTCACCCAACTTAAGTTGTAAACGGAACGTATCGCAAGTTCACTATCAAATATTGACTCATTCATAGTACGTTAACACTGGATTTACAACAACAAATTACGAAACAAAATTTAACGAAATAATACGAACATCGTATAAGGGAATAAAACGAATATCAACATTGGTACAAAAATCATAACACACGAACAATATATTACAATTGCACGAAAACAAATGAAATTATTGTGGTGCACAATATGTCGTACATGTTAATGTGAAACACACATATTACGCTCGGATCAACCAACGTTCCACACGTGGAACTGTCAAGCGTCGAGAAAAATTGAGAAGAACTTTCGAGTCCCGACAGTTCATCTGTCGATGTTCAAACATCTACCGAGAATGACTGCGATGAAATGTCGAGAACTATAGTTCATCTGCCGATAATCTCCCATCTGTCGAGAATTAGTGCAGTGAACTGTCGGGAACTACAGTTCACGACGACCACATTTCTCTACTGAAGTTAACTATCGGAAAATCTAATTTTGACCTCAATGTAAGTAGATATTATTGAAGGGCTACTTACTCCATATTGAAGCAGAGAGAAGCATTAAACAACATATATGTGAAGTATGTATGCAAAATTTCCACCCGAATGCATAATTACTCATATGAACTAGCAAGTGAAAGCAAGATTATGTACAGTTTGACCCCTATAAAAATTTAACACTACTTATCCATGTCTTTTGTCATGAGACGGATTAAACCATGTAAATGATAACATGCATGTCAAATATTTTCTACGATCTCTCACATTGAGATATGATTTACAGATTTTATTTAGCATACATCAAAAACTGCTCATACTTTTTATTGTTTTCCATTTAAACAATAACCGAGTTACCTAGTATTATTGTAAAAAAAAACCAGCAGTTATACTCTGATTATCAACCCAAAGTTTGTGTTCAGCAACTGCCCTAACTTGTTCCCCCACCGTTTAAACCTTGTTCAAGAGTAATCAAATATAAGAACAAATGTTGGAGTGATCAGAAAAGGTAAGTTCTAAAACCAGATTTATGCACAAAAGTATTTCAAAATTCCATGCAAGGTAAGGGGTTTGAACCATTTTAGACTTGTATAATACTATACAAATGGAGTTAAAAGCTGAATCAATACATGAGTTTGAACCATAATGGACTTGTATAATACTATACCAAATATAATTAGAAGCTGAACCAATACATCTTGAAAGTTCTCGAGCTAGATCGACGTAACAACTATGCACTTATTTAACACGGTTATAATTCACATCTACCATCAGAAATCATGTTTAACATTAGGACTTCAACATGGGTACTGAACATCTATATTTTAACAATACCTTTATTTGGAATCTCTTTTTAGTTTGATTCTGATGATACCTTTTGCTTAATCAATAGTTAAAACAAATAAGCAAATGTGCATTTAAGCTACAGAGCGCCAGAATTTTTGTTACGTCACGGTCTCATTTGACAGATTTTTTAATATCATAGTACCCCTGGCAAGAAAAAATTGGCACCAAATAATAATCAACGATAATCTGTCATCGGCAAGCATTAACCCATTGTAAAAAAAATTCTAACTATCTTTCAGAAATTTCCTAAAAAATGCAAATATAACTCAACCAAAAGATCCATCATCATATAGGCCAGGCCATCCATATTCTAAGATCTCGACACACAAAGTCTCATTGAAATGAGGCATCATATTTAGAACTAAAGGCATTGAATTGGTTTTAACATGTCCCACCTCTAAAGGCCCTAACTGCATGTCGACAAACTGACCACCTTGAACCTCCAATACGTACTTTCCATAGTATCAGCAGCAAAATATTTCCACTCCAACCCAACAATAAAAAAATATATTCTCCTAATAATACCAAAATCAGGTAATAATTGAAGAGTTTAAGCATCAATTACACTACATACAAAGAACAAAATAATCTATTATACAAGCCCTCAAAATAAATCTGTCATCAAACTAGGGAGGCAAACTACAGAAACAAATAGTACAGATTTATATACATGAAACTAGCATATTCTAGAAAGTCAACAGAATATAAAATCTATTGTTACATAGGAAAAAAAAGATGAAGCCAGAAAATAAATAAAAACAAGATTCGTGCAAATTTTAAACCACAGTTCTAACTTGTAAATGTTCAACTTTCAACAGAGTCCACAAAACATACAATCCATTACTAGAGAGGCAAAATAGAGATGAACCTAGAAATTAAAAAGAAAAGATTTCATTAAAATTTTGTCAGAATTCTATTTTTCAAATTTTACCTCCATATCACACCATTGTTATTCTGTGTTTATTTGGAGGTGAAAGTGAGAAGAAGTCCAATGGGGATTGGTTTTATTCTGGAGACATCGATTGCTAAGGACGTGAATCGTCGCCGGAGGGAATAGAGAGAATTTGGGGAAGAAAGGAAGAAGAAAATAGACATCTGGCTCTCTTGCTACGAGGGGTTTTGGATTGGGGTTTTCTTTGGGCAACATTTTCCTTTTTTTTTTTTTTGTTTTCTTGTTCTTCAAATGTACTATTACTGACATTTTGCACATTTTAAATATTGGCCCCATTTGGTAGAGATTAAAATTCAATTANNNNTGTTTGCTCAGGATTAAAATTCAATTATAAATGAAAATATGGCCGTTGTTGGGTCCCACTCGTCAAAAAAAAGTCAACAAAAATGGTTAGTTTTTCAATTTTAAACCGATTTTAATCTCTACCGAACACGTCCATAGTCAAATTTGAATTAACGTTAGACATGTAGGGTATTTCAATTATGCAGAGGGGGCAAAAATGTTTAAAATTGACAATCTTGGAAAGACTTTAAAAAAAGTAACATATTTGTAAATGCAAAGCCAAAAATTGACATCTAGTGCGATTTGCTCTTTAGATCATTTCATCTACTCTGTTAGTATGACCAACTAAAAGTTGTCGTGTCCATCTCATTGGAAAATTGAAAGGTCACAACAATTTCTAACGGTAGAATTAACAGACATGATGGAGTGATCAACTTGAAACAAAAATAACTTTATTGATCAAGATATAATTTTTATGCAAGTTATACAATATTTTCCCATCTACCATAAATCAAATTGAATCAACTTAAAAAGAAAATAAATAAATAAATAAAATTAACTCTGTAAATCAATTTGTGGCTCTTGTTCATGTAAGAAAATGTCATGTTGAAATGGTCAATGATGGTTAACTAACAGCCTGCCTTGGAATTCGAATTTCATTTTCACTTTCGTATCAAACAGTCAAAGTAGAAATTGAATTTCTCGGATATGACACTTTCCACAAAATTTAATCAAACGGACCCTCAGATTTGTGGCTCGTTCATGGAAGAAAATATCATGTTGGAATGGTCAATGATAGTTAACTAACAGTCGTGTGGGATTTATATGTGCAACTTTGTTGACATTCAACGACGAGTAAAATTATGTGCTATTGATTGTTTTAAGAATGATTAAAATCAATAACAAATATGTTGACCACCTCACACACTGTCAACAAAGTTGTACCTGTAGCAGTTAAACTTTTTAGCTGATTTTGATAGAAGTTAAAATGTGTGGTTGAAAAATTGTGGATTTTATAAAATATGTGGTTAAAATTAATTGTTAATTTTTAACAAATAGGAGCTTGAGGTACACACGACGTCGGTTTGAAATTTCATCATATTTTAGAGTTGAAAAAATAAAATTTATTGTTTTCTTATAATTCTAGAATGTCAATCGAGTATTAATCTAATAATTTAAAGCTTTAAACAAACACATATTCTGTCTAGTTAATATAGACACATATATTCCACGCGGCATTGAGAAATCATTGTGAATTTTTAAACGTGTTTTGGTATAAAGCCGTTGGTACCCTTAGAAAGGGCGAACAATACTTCTTTATAATAGCGTTCTCGATGACTCATCAAATGCCTACTTTTCCTAATTCTTTTTGGATTAAATTCACCAATAGCCATCAAATTTTATACTTGGTCAATGTTTGATCACCATTAAATTTTAATTCATTTTTCTTTCTCCTCTTATCAATCACACATTCTCTCAATAAAATAATATTACACTTGAAAAAACACTATTTCAATTTTTTTTTTTTCAAATAATGGAGCTCAAACAAGGGCTTATCCAATTTTATTTTGTTTCACCATGACCACCCAACTTTATACTTAGTGTCACCATGGCCACCCATTTGATTTTATTTCATTATGACCAGTTAATTTCATATAACGTTTCATCATGGCCACTCAACTTCTT